GGAGGACCAATTAATGACTCATCAACTGAGGAGGGGCACTGGTGGTAATCAGCAGGAGGTTAACTTGGCCATGTTTGACATGAGGCCTGGAATCATTCATGATTACTTCCAGGGTAGGTTGCTACCAATTATACAACAGTGTGCCACCACCTCTAGCAGGTCTATCCTGAACAGATACATAAGTGACAGAGGTAAGACATTGGCTGCAAGTTATGATCCAGGAAGTATAACTATGTCGGACTGTTGCATGACCAGTCTGTGAGATAGCTCCAAAATTGTGGCACCAGTGCCCAGGTGTTATTGAGAAGGATATTGCAAGACCAGCCACTGGGTACTTTTTGTCCCTTCTGTTTCCTAATTTGATATTGATGTCGACATCCATTTGGTTTTATTCTTGGGTGAGGAGTACACATCTGGAAAGTACAATCTGCACCCTGGTTCATCCTGAACCAAAAAAACTAACAATTTGCCGAAGTGTTAAATGTTGACAACTTTATTACTGCAATCTGATCAACATTGAGTCCTGAATGGTGTTATCTTCTGTTTCAACTTTTGGTTGTGTTAATTCAATAAAACATTCCATCCGTATACAGGTGAAATCCATGCATTTCAAATGGAGTTTAATAACATCAGCAAAAGAACAGAATATAACACAAACAACAAACAAACAATTACCTGAACTTTGTATTACATGGAGGGATTGTGAAATTCATCCTTATGTTTATTTCTAAAATTGACAACGTAACTATAGACATAATCATTTTCGGAAAATGTGGAGATTTACTGTCTCTGCAAGGTAAGATATTCTTCTTTTCTCATTATTTCTCATTTGTGTGACTTCAGTGAAAGGCAGATTTGGGTGTAGGATAGCAGCTAATCTACTGTCACCTATTTATGTCATCACTGACATTAAATTTTACCTTCACTGTTTGATGTCTGTGTCCAATAATGGACACATACTGACACTGACTAAATTTATTTTTCCACTGAAATCCTGCATCTCCTAACCTAGAAGAAGTTGCTGAACATTTCCTCTAAACCAAAGCTAACAGGCATTTTTTAATCCTTCACCAGCACTCAATGAAATTCAATTGTGCCAGACTTATGTTATGAATGCAGCATGCATGCAAGAGATCTCAAAGATAATGGGCAGAAACTACGCACTTATTTTATGTCAACATGGGGGACTTGACTTCTCCCAGAGAATTCTAGAACTAAAGCATATTATAGCAAATTATGGCAAAGATTGAATGGCATTCAAATTGCACTCTTTTGGCACATAACCTTAGCTAATATTAAGACCAACATCAAAAGCAGAACAAATAGAGATACAAATTTAAATTTATCAAACAGCTCAATTTCATCTCCAACATTTGTTTAAAAATTCATTCAGGGGATATAGGCAGAGCTGGCAAGGCCAGCATTAATTGCCCATTTCTAATTGCCCTTGGGAAAGTGGAAGTTTATGTGGTGTAGAGGTACCAAGGAGCTTAAACATCTGTGGTATCTACCTGGAACCATCACAAGTTAGAAAGCCTTCACCTGGTATCTATCAGAGCAATACACAGTTGCCCAATCCCAAGGATGGCCTAGCACTGCCCTATTAAGTGCCAGATAGTCACTTACCAGGCCAAGTAGACAAACAGGAGGCTGGAAGAACACATCAAGCAAGGCAGCATCTGGAGGGAAGAAGCGTCAACGTTTCGGGTATTACCGTTCTTCAGAAATCCTGAGCAAGGGTAACACCCGAAATGTGACTGCTTCTTTATTCTAGGCCTGCTGTGTTCTTCCAGCTTCCTGTTTGTCTATGTTGGATTCCAGCATCTGCAGTTTTTTTGTCTCTAACTTACAATGCCAGGCCTTCCTGAAGGGAGCTAAAGCCTGGTTCTCACCAAGTCTCCAGCCAGCAAGTGAGATTTCCATCACCTAGATTAAATTCAACCATGGTCCCATCTTTAAACCTCTTTAAAGAACTAGTGCTGTTCTCAGGCATCCATTACCTTGATGTGCCAAAAGCTCTCTACCACCAGTTTTATGCGCATTGTTATCCTTAAAATTACAAATTCATTAGCAAATGTTACAATTTAGGAAATTTTTAGAAACCTTTTCTCTTGCGCTGTGGAAAAGACCAATTCAAAGTGAGCTCAGATTCCTTTGAACCGAAATGAAATAATCTAGGAGATAACAAGTGTGATGCCATATATCTTATTGTGAGTGATATGATATACCTCTTACTCATTTAGTCTCTCCCTGTGATATATATATATTCTTTCAAGGGATGTGGGTGTTGCTGTCTAAGCCAACATTAGTTGCAGAAATAACAAACAGCAGAACATATAATTTAGTTTACAACTAAGAATCAACTTTTACATTATTTTACAAAAGAAAGCTACTCAGAAGCAAAACAAAGGGTTTTATTATAGCAGGCAAAACCCGAACACGTCAGAAGCTCTGATAGAAGCTGAAAAATGGCAGATTAACCCAGATGACATGTTTGGATTCCTGATGGTACATTAGGGAGGTCTTATATATATAATAATATTTCACTTGTGTAAAAACTGCTCTACAAATTTAGTCAGAATAAGTTGCGCTGCTTTCAACTTAATCTACATTAATACTGATATTAATTTAAAACTGAAATGAATGGAAATGAAAATCAGGCAGGGTGTGTAACCAGAAATGTAATCAATAAGATGTAATTTTGAATCACATTAAGAGATTCTATGTCAGATAACCAAAAGTCTTGTACAAGAGGCAGGTTTCATGTGTGATAAAAAGGAAGAAAAAGAAGCAGAAAGTTAAAGAGCTTTAGGGAGGTCATTCCTGAGCTTAGGATCTGTACAACCTTTACAAAAATGAAGTTTATAAGTTTGTTCATTTTGGATCTGTCTGTTTAAGGTAAAAGGGAATAAACATTGAGGGTCATGTAACCTGCTTCAAATTCTTATTGACTGCAAAGCTTCATTACTATCACAACAGTGAAACCCAGCTTGATTTACAGGGAAGATGATGAATAATGTTCACAGCTTTGGAGAAAGGCAAGGTGACTTTGAGTTGACTCTTAGTCTCCACGACAAAGAGGATGTTAAGGATATCAGATTTATAATACAGCCATCCTTTTAAAGTATTCATTTAATTTCAAGTTATCATGGAGTTGGGGATCTAAAGGAGAGAAAATTAGCATTTCTATCTGGATGAAAAGCCCAAGTGTTTCATGTTAACGTTGAGATAGGCTCTGAGAAAGGAACAGTGGATAGCAAGCTATTATAAGATTAATGGATTTTTGTTGGTATATCACTAAACATCACAGACAGGTCAGTATACAAGAATCTGAGAGCACAGAGTGACCTCAAACAGCCACAACTAGCATGATGGAGGACAGCCACAACATGCAACCACTTGTGCGATATCAGTCACATGTCCAGTACGTAGTACTAAAGATGAAACCACCTTCTTTCATCAGCACGATTCTTTCATGAAAGACATTCATCACATTAGACATTCTCCAGATAACAGTCCACTCACAACAACATAAATATCTGTGGTCAACCAGCTCCTCTGCAAAAGAGATTTGCAAGATGAAGGGATCCTCCAAAGGAATGATCAGCATCAAAATCAGCAATCCTTGAGACTACAAATCTTTCAAATCTGAAATGAAGGCATTCTCAAAAAGCTGACAAATCACCAGTTTATTTGAATTTGTGAGGTCAAGCTTGAGAGAGAATGAGTGGTGATAAATTCATTACAGTTATTTGTATCATTGTATAATGGGTTAACTAAGGTGGAAATGCTCAAGAATGTTGTGCAAGACAATGGGGAATATGAAAGGTTAATCTGAACCAGTCTGAAGCTCTGTCCTCTCTGATATACAGAGCAGCCACTTGGTGGAGCATAAGGCAGTCTTGGGCAGTCGTAGACGGAGACAGTCGTATCTTCTGTTCCTCATATTACATCAATATAATATATATGGTTAAAACCTCATCTCATTATTCAAGCCAAGACCATATTCTGATGAGACTTATTCATGCTTCGTCCAACACCTCAAACTACTAAAAGAAGGATTGGTGGCAGCATTCTGGCTACCTAAAGGAGATAACCAGGTCTTATCGTGAATATTGTAACAGTACTCGTTATAGTGCAGTAAAAAGTACAGAGGCACTAGCGACATGTTTGGTGAAGTTTTTATTAAAATTAAGAAACACTGTAAAATGTTTATTCAAGTATCATTCTTAACCAAAAGCAACATGTATGTCTAACTGTAAGTCCCAAGGTGCACAAACTAAGTAAGTTAATTCCTTTGATAATTATTATTGGGTGGGTTCTCAAAGAATTGCTTTTTATTCATAGCAAAACGCAGGAAGCATGTTTTGATCTCTCATTTATTATTGAGCACAATATCCAACTATCATAAGCTGTTAGTTATAGAAAATTATTGCTCAAAGGGACAGAAGTAAAGGTTAATAATTTGAATTATTTGTCATGCCCTACAGTAAAGGAATAAAATTGTAGATTCGTATAAAATAATATCCTCATAGAAAAATCATCCTGAAGAGAAACTCTTCAGCTCACTCTGTAAGATAAAGCAATGGCCAACCAATTGGAGCTTTAAAACTGAAAAAAGTCTGCAGTACAGACTAGAGAGATTTCCAGGACAGTTCCCACTAAAAGTTGAAGTTTTTGGTTGATTAGAAAAAAATCGGAATTAAATAGTGACTTTAAATGTGGTGATCCTGGGACTACTAATACAAAAGAAAATTAAGGGGAGTATAGAAAATGATGCAGGGAAACCGTTAGAAAAGAAAAAAGAAGGGTCTATGAAGTAAGATTAGGAGATAAAGAGAAATAGGATGGAATTTTATAAACGGTAAAAATAATAGACTTAAATAAAAGTAACAACAATTTAAGTAAATAATCTTATACAATGCCTGCCATTCCGGAGTTACCCTCATAAGATAAAGAAGTTTTATCAAACCTTTAAAATGCAAATGTCACCAGAGGAATGGAAAAGTGGAACACCCTGTTAGTTTGATTTAGTCAGGGCCTGGATTATCTCTGAAACCAAATAACCCAGTGAATCAGTACACATTGGTCTCTGGACTAGTAAAAGTAGATTGGACCAGTGGTGTTGAACACCTGGATGCCCTCATTTTATGTTCACATTGCACTCAGGGACAAGTTAAAATGTAAAATATAAGATACTGCTGATTCAGTGAGTGAAGTTTGTTTGCCCTGAAGTGTGCTGTAAATTCCAGTAATGATTATAGCAGCCAGCAAGGCCTGTTGGGAACAAAGGTCCAAATTTCCCAAAGAGTGGCAATCATTGCCAGATTGCCAATCCGATCCTATTTTGCTGTGTTGCAATACAGCTCCACATATCTGGAGAAGATCTGATCCTAGTTTCTTCAGAAACTCAGAGCAGTCTTTTATCAAACAGTTTCCTTGTAGCGCTGAATTGTCAAGGGAATGGAAATCATGCCGGTAATATGTCCGGTATTATGAAGACTCAGCATTAAATCCCTACATTTTTACATTTGATCTCTTGTCATATTAGTCAATGCTTTTGCACAGGTATAACCAGCAGAGCATGATATAACCCACCAAAACAGAATATTTTACCAATGGGTTTGATGCCCTGTGCAATATCATGTAAGATTGATCAATGTAGATAAATGATCTGGACTTGACTATTGGCATTTCCTCAAAAGAGGAAGCACCCCAATGAATCTGCAAATTAATTCTGGAGCACAATATTCTTTTAATCATTGTTAAATAATGTCATTTTATACACAATTAGAGACAGTCAATATAAGCTCCCTTTCATTAGAGGTCCATTGAGTTGACACAGGCTCTCTGGAAAGCAATCCAGTCTGCCCTATTCCCAAAAGGACAGTGTGTCTGATACTGGCAAGGTGTTCAAGTTTAGCTAATTGTGTCACAGAGGGATGAGTGTTGACACTTCAACAATTCACATTTTGAGTGGTGATTTGGTTGAAAGGATAGAGAGCCATATGTTCAAACAGTGTCTCCTGTTAATTGAATCAAACCTTCCATTATAATCACACCACCCATTTTCAACCAAATCCCTCATTTAAACTTACATCACCGTTAAATACTGGAGTCAATTTATTACGTACCTTAAAATGTCGCAATTAATACTTAAATGCCACAAGAGCATTTTATAGGCTCAGTAATAATACTTCCTATCTTTGCTTGAAAAACTGGGATAATTTTATTTACATCAGAAACAAATCAAGTAATTCTTTCTGAAGTCCTTGGCAAATAGTTAAGAATGAAATTAAAGATTATGCTTAGCTGAAGATCCAATTATCCATTGGTTCAGTTAGAAATTAAAAACTCATGGCTCTATTTGATGAAGACCTGGAAGGTTTTCTGATGTTAGAGCCTACATTTTTTCTACAACAACTGCAAAAAGTAGGCTACCTGGTATTTATCCACTTAACTGCTTGTGGGACTATGCTGGTGACGAAATGGTGTTATGTTCACACAAAAATCAACAGTAACTGGACAATGTCTGACTGATATGCTTTGAAACATTTCTGTGAGTCATGTCAGGTGTTCAGAAAATTGAAGATTTCACTCACACCAGTCCATCTCCTTAAGATATCAAAGTTACTCAGTAGAGATCATGAGAGTGTAAATTGTAGAGAAATCTGCCTCAACAACAGGATGTGTTCAAGTACAGTTTCTTGTTCTAGGCTTGAATCCTTATTTCTTTACACTTGCATGTGAGATTATTTTCATATTAGTTAGTTGCCCCTGTAGCTTCATTTCAGCGTATTGTTCAAAATCTTAAATTTGGCTATTAGCAGTGTTGATATTCTTTCTCCAGTAACAGACACTAGGAGATCTGCATGATCTTCCATCTTATAAAACTACAAGGTCACTGCAGTTTCAGATTCTGCTGTCAAAGAATGATTCCTCCATTTTGGGAATATAGAGATGTTTAAATATGTTTTGCTGGCATAAGGTAACGTATCTTCTTCCAAAAGTATGAATTTTGTGAGAGAGATGTACTCTTCCACTTCACTCTCCTGTTTGATCTCAAAATAAGCTGAAGCGACTGTGGCAAAAATGTAACGTCTCTTACTGGATTGTATTCGATAAGGATTGGCTTTATTAATCTGTTGACTAAAGCTTGATGAAGACCTGTCATCAGTTCATACATAGAACTATTTTCTGCCAGACATTCAGCGCAAAGTATTATAATCAATCTTCTACATTTGTTGATGTAGGACAACATATCATTTGCAGAAGCTGTAAAGCAAAATAAACATTTTTAGATGAACAAATAATTTAAATAAACTAGCAACAACTCGGATTTGCATGGTACCTTTAATGTAATAAAATGTGCCAAGGCAGTTCAAGGAAGTTGATGAAGCAAAATGTGTTCCCGAGCCACATGAGATGAAAATAGGATAAATGGTCAAAAGATTGCCAAAGCAGTAGATTTTAAGAAGTATCTTAAGGGAAAATGAAAGGGAAGAGAGGCAGAGAATGTTGTTGAAGAATTCCTAGAGGTTAGGGCCTAGACAAATGAAGACACAGCCCCAGTGATGAAACTAATAAAATAAAGGATTCTCAAGAGGCCAGAATAAGATCAATAACAATATCTCAAAAGGTTGTGGGGCTGGGGGAGATTACAAAGGTGGAGAGGAGTAAGGCCCTTATACTTAATGAGGAGTCAATGAACATTAATGAGCACTGGGATGATAGGTGCTTGTGTCTGGGTTTGAGTATAAAGACACCAGCAGAAAACCTCAAGTTTATGGAGGGTAGAATTTACAAGGCCAGTCAGAACGCACTGGAATAGGCAAACCTATGGATATGGAGAGTTTCAGCAGCAGAGGATTCGGGGCAGAAATGCAGTCAGAGTATATTACACAGATGGAAATGATGGATTAATGAATATAGGATTGGGAATTCAATTCACGGTCAAATACGACATCAAACAAATGAATATTATGGATTATCCTCAGACAGTTATCAGAAAAAGGGATGGAGTTGGTAGCTAGGGAATAGAGTGTGTCAGTCTTCCCAATATTTAATCAGTAAATTAAAAATTTCTGCTTAGCACTTTCCATCAGATAACCAGTCTGACAGCTCAACAACAGTGAGGGATCGAGAAAGTTGGTGTTGAGGCAGAGCTGAGTGCCTTCAGCATATATGTGAAAACTGAGGCAGTATCTTGGTATGGATGTCTATTAGAGACAGCGTACAATGAGGAATAGGAGGTGGGGCTGGGAGAGTGGTGGAAGGGTGGGCTGTCACTGAAGATGATTGAATTGGAAGAAAATTGGAAGAGTATGGTCAGATTGAGAAGGACCAAGAAGGATAGTTCATCTTTTTCATGGTTTCATTGGATGTCATTGGGATTTTGATAAGAGCCAACTGAGCACTGTGGGAGGGACAGAAATCTAACTGAAGGGATTCAAACGTGGGGCTTTGGGCTCAGAATTGGGAGGTGACAGTATGTTCTAGGACTATGCAAAGGCAAGTGAGATTTAAAATGGAGCAATTATTTACTAGAATATTAAGAGATGCGGGCAGTCTCAAAGAGAGAACCATAAATATTACCCAGCATGGAAACCAGGAGGGGAAGTTAGGCGATTAGCAGTCAGGGTGAAGGAGTAGGACTCATAGTCATAGATCATACAGCACAAAAAAATGCCCTTCAGTTCATTGAGTTTGTGCTGTCCTATCTACACTAACCCCACTTTCCAGCCCATAGCCTTGAATGTTATGACATTTCAAGTGCTCATCCATGTGCATTTAAGGTTGTGAGGTTTCCTGCCTTGAATGGACTCCCAGGCAGTGCATTCCCGATTCCCAACACCCTCTCATGGATTCATAGAATCCCTACAGTGTGGAAACAGGCCCTTCGGCCCAACAAGTCCACACCGACCCTCAGAGCATCCCACCCAGACCCATCCCCTTTAACCCACCTAAGCTTCACATCCCTGAACACTACGGGCAATTTAGCATGGTCAATCCACCTAACCTGCACATCTTTGGACTGTGGAAGGAAACTGGAGCACCCGGAGGAAACCCACGCAAAAAAGATTTTTCCTCAAATTCCCTCTAAACTTCCTGCCCTTCACCTTAAAATTATGTTCATTCTTTCTTGACCTTTCAAACAACCCAAGCCTGTCCAGCCTCTCTTCATAACATGGTTCAAATCAGGTAGCACCCTAGTGAAATTCCCCCACACCCTCTTCAGCGCAATCACATTCTTCCTATAGCGTGATGATCAGAACTGTACAAGGTACTACAGTTGTAGCCAAACCAAAGACCAGTACAGCTCCAAAATAACCCACCCCCCGCTCTTACTATCTATGCCATTGCTGACAGGCATGTCCCATATACGATTTTAACCACTCTCTTAATCTGGCCAAATAAAAACTGAAAGAACTGCGAATGCAGTAATCAGGAACAAAAACAGAAGTTACTGGAACAGCTCAGCAGCTCTGGCAGCATCTGTGAAGAAAAAAATCAGAGTTAACGTTTTGGGTCTGGTGAATCTGGCCTGCTGCCTTCAGGGATCTGAGGCCAAGCACCCAAGATCCCTTTGTTCCTCTGAGCTTCCCAGTGGCCTGCCATTCATTGAATATTCCCTTGTCTTGTTCCCTCTTCCAAAATGCACCATTTCACTCTTTTCAGGTTTAAATTCCATATTATGCCCATCTGGCTAACCTTCATGTTAACTAAAACCTCCTTCCTCATCGTCAACCACCCAGCTAATCTTTGTGTCATCAGCAAACCAACTTATCATCCCTCCACATTTTTGTGTATATTATTTATATATATGTATCATGAACAATAAGCAATCGAGCACCAATCCCTGTGGTACGCCAATAAACACTGGCCTCCAGTCATATGAACATCCTTCTACCATGATCCCTCTGTCTCCACCTTGCAATTTATCCTGGATCCCATGTGCTTTTACCTTCTCTATCAGTCTCCCATGTAGTACCTTTTCAAAGGCTTTGATGAAATTCACATAAACCACATGAACTACACTACCCTCACCTACACACCTGGTCATCTCCTCAAAAAATTCAAATTTTTTAGACACTACTTCCCTTGGACATAGCCATGCTGATTATTCCTCATCAAACCCTTCCTCTCCACGTGGAGATTAAGTCTCTCTTTCAGAATTATTTCCAAACCTACCACTGATGTGAAATGAGGTGAGTTTCATGATTATGATGAACTTGGAGAACACATAAGGAAATAGAAAAGAATCTGGAGAAATAGTGATTATATTTTCAAATTTATGCTCTGATGCAATGTGAGCGTCACAGAAAATCCAGGATTTGTTACCCATCTCTTGCTGCATTCATTACACAGGGATGTAGGTGTGAGCTCACTTTTGGATTGGACAGAACTTGCACTTGCTCTTGAAGGGATGAAAGAGGGTGTCAGCACAGCAGAAACAATGGAATACGGTCAAGCTTTTTTGCTCAGGGCAAGGCCTTGAAAACAGAGATGTTGCTAAATAATTAAATAGCTACAAAAGCATCAAACAGAGGGCCAGAAGTTAGACACCTGGGAGTGTGAAAACAAGTTTCAAGACAGCTATTTCCAAGGACAGATTAAATATAAAGTGGTATTGAAGAACAATTGAGAGATATTGATGATCGGCAATAGAAAAACTGGTGGTAGATACCTTTCATTCTGTATATATTCATTAAGTATTATCATTAAACAGAAGAGAATAAATCCATCTTACCTCCTCCTGGAAGAACGTCGCGTTCAAAAATGCATAGTCGGTAACCAAATTTTTCTTCTAGAATTGCAGGTAGTAGTTCCAATGCAAATGTTTCCTCGTTAGCACTGAGAAGAGCATCATTACTCTTAAGGAGCAGCACATACGCATCATATTCCTTACTGTCTGAACATTAAGTTCAAAAGATCAGCATTAGTCAGTACAGTTAGGGAAAGAACAAGAAGTTGACAATTAATAATATCTTCTTCATAAATGGATACAAGGCATTAGGTGGAAATTTTAGTTGCAAATATTTGAATGTTGGAAAAAGTTCAAGTTTCCTGCCCAAATAAACTCAACTTATGACAATGGATACTAACCTATCCATGTTCACCATTGCAGTACATAGCTATGGAAGTACTCTCCCAGGTATACTGCTAGACAATACTGGGTAATGTGGTAGAATACTTTAAAATGCTGATAGGGTCTAATGACATGTGTAGGATGCCATTTGCGATTCTTGGTTTGAAGTTGGCAGGAAGTATGCACTATATATTTTCTGACCAGTACGAGTTTGCTATCCTAGGGATAGGGATGACAAAAGTGAACTTTGCTCACCCACCTATGGTTAGGAAAAGCAAGAATTTCTCCTCACGCTCCACAATACTAATGCAAGAAGAGGGTTAATGACCTGTGTAGACAACCAGGAGGCTGGAAGAACACGGCAAGCCAAGGAGCACCTGGAGGAAGGGAGTTGTCAATGTTTCGGGTATTAGCCTTCTTCAGGACTGGATGTGGGGTTTAGGGGAAGCTACAGATAAAAAGAGATGGGGAGGGGGGTGATAGCAGAATGGTGGTGATGGATGGACACTGTTCGTAGGAAAGACCTGGTTGGCCGATGGGAGGAATGAATCCAGTTGGTGGCTGAAAGGGAGGGTCAATAGATGGAAAGGAAGGGAGGAGGTGGGGCTGGAAAGGGAGCCAAGGGGTGTGTGGAAAGGTTATTTGAAATTGGAGAACTTAATATTGCATCCTCTGGGCTGTAGGGTGCCTAGGTGGAAGTTAAGGCGTAGGTGTTCATATTTGCGTTGCGAGTCACTGCGACACAGGAGGAGGCCGAGGATGGACTTGTCAGAGGGGGAGTGGAGGGGATAGTTGAAATGGGCAGTGACCTGGAGGTTAGGTTGGCCGTTATGGGCCAGGTGAAGATGCTCAGCGAAACAGTCACCTAGTCTATGTTTGGTCTCACCGATGTAGAGAAAACCACATCGGGAGCACCGGATGCAATAGATTAGGTTGGAGGAGGTGCAGGTGAAACTCTGTCTCACTTGGAAGGACTGTTTAGGGCCCTGGATGGAGGTAAGGGAGGTGGTGTGTGGGCAGGTGTTGCATCTTTTACAGTTACAGTGGAAGGTAGCGGGCGGGTTGGAGTGGTTGGTAGGGAGTGTGGCACGATCTAAGGAGTGGCAAAGGGAATGCTCCTTACGGAAGGCAGAGAGGGGTGGGGAATGGAAGATGTTCTGAGTGGTGGGATCTAATTGGAGTTGGCGGAAGTGTTTGAGAATGATACATTGGATGTGGAGGCTGGTGGGATGGAAAGTGAGGACAAAGGCTCCCTATTTTTATTATGTTTGGAGGGCGGGGACGGGTGGTTAAAAACGGGGAATGGAGGAGGTGTGGTAGAGGACTGTTTGGATGACAGAGGGGGCAAAGACCGTTGTTTGAAAAAGGCAGACATCCGGAATGCTTGGGAGTGAAACGTCTCCTCATTAGAGTAGATGTGACTGAGACAGAGGAATTGGGAAAACAAGATGGAGTTTTTGCAGGATACAGGGTGGGAGGAGGTGTAGTCCAGGTAGCTATGGGAGTCTGTGGGTTTATAGTAAATATTGGTCCATAAATGGAAACGGAGAGGTCAAGAAAGGGGAGGGAGATGTCTGAGATAGACAAAGTGAATTTGAGGGTGGGCTGGAAGTTGTTAGCGAAGTCGATGAACTGCTCCAGTTCAGCCTGGGTGTAGGATGCGGCACCAATGCAGTCATTGATGTAACAGCAGAAGAGTTGGGGAACAGTACCGGTATATGTACTAAAGAGGGACTGCTCGACATAACCGACAAACAGGCAGGCGTAGCTGGGGCCGATACAAGTGACCATGGCAAACCCCTGGATTTGGAGAAAGTGAGAAGAATTGAAGGAAAAGTTACTGAGGGTGAGGACTAGTTCGGCAAGGTGAAGGTGGGTGTCCACCTATAACCACCATTCTGCTACCATTCCCATCTCTCTTTATCTGCAGCTCCCCCTATCCCCACATCCAGTCCTGAAGAAGGGTAATACCCAAAACGTTGACTGTTCCTTTCCTCCAGATGCAGCCTGGCTTGCTGTGTTCTTCCAGCCTCCTAGTTGTCTACCTTGGATTCCAGCATCTGCACTTTTTTTTGTCTCTAACCAGGTTAATGACCCCTCGCTCTGTAAGGGTAGGTGCCACCATTTTCTCTCTGCTACGTCACACATTCAGGACTACCTCTCACACTAACTATGCCACTGCACATACCTCTTTATCAACTCTCAATATTGCATGCATCATGTCCATGCCATGTCTCTCACACACCTCATTCTCCCAAACTGTTACCTTTTCTTGCCCTTTGCACATCCTACTCCCTCATTGGGATCCCTTTATCTCCCCTCCTGCTCTTGTATCACAACTAACTACTCTTCCATACACTTCCATCATATTCAATCACACCCCTTGAATCACACCAGGAAATCTTGGCCCAACCACTAGACTAATAATCAGATGCAAATACATGGACATAAGACAGTTGCATCTGATTAGTGAGATTCTGACCACACCATTAAACCCTAAAAGGAAGTCTGACACCCTTTTCACTACCAAGAATCTGATTTTTCCATTTTCATTGTATTTTCACAACTTTCTAACCTTTTCCCCTGCAGTTCAAAGTGGTAGAAAATTCAGTCCATTGTTTCAGGTCGATGACCTCTCATCAGGAAAAGGGTTAGCTAGCTTGATGGAACTGTTAAAATCACCTTGGTGTTTTTCCTTTTTGAAAATCTTTTTAAGGCATATGGGGACTTTCTTTTTGTTTTTCTTCAGGTTTTTGAGTAGGTATTTTATTAATTTGTGGTTCGTGGTTATCACTGGAAAGACCTGCAATATATTCCTCATCCCTAACTGCCCTTGAACTAAATAGCTTGCTTGGCCATTTCAGAGCCCAAGTAAAAAAACAATCACTTTCTATAGATGTGGACTCAGGCAAATGCCAGACCAGGTAAGGATGGCAGATTTGCTTCTATAAATGACAATAATAAAACAGATGGGTTTTCCAACAATGAGAGTTTCACAGTCACCCTTACTGAGACTAATTTTTAATTCCAGATTTCATGAATTGAATTTTAAATTCCACCAGATACCACAGTGGGATTTGAACCCATGCTCCAGGGTTTTTGAGCCACATAGTTCAGCATTTCACAAGAAGAAAGGTGGCGACCCTATCACAGTCTGGTCTAGGTGTTCCTGTTTCTGAGAATGTAGGAAGTATGCTTTGACATTAATCAAAATACAACCGACATATAGGTTTTATTCTTAAAATCTTACCTTCTAAAGATTCATCTCTGGAAATGAAGTCTCTGAAGCAAAGGACAAAATAAACCTTGAACTTGACATATACAACTGTTACAATGATGCAAACAGCCACTGCCATGATTAACAGTAGGACTACTGGAGCAGTGTCACCCTTGCCTATGAGAAAGTAAATTAAATAACATTTGTGATGGTTACCAAAACTTCAGAACATCAATCAGACGTTGCAGCCTGTATTTTCCAAATAGTATAAATAGTATAATACAAAACACTGTGATTCCTGCCACTATATCAGTGTTAATTGAATATATGATTAAACCTCAAACCCAAGACTAAAGTGTATCAGGCAGGAGTGGTTGCTGCAATTCAATATACTTTGGAGATTTGCATAACCTACAGCAGGTACCAGAAGTGCTGGAGAAGCAATAGTAACAGTATACGCCTAAGATCCTCTTACTTACGGAAGAAAATGAGGGAAAAGTAACAAAGCTGGAAGACAGAGGTTAGTTGTGAAGTTGGGTCTGAGATGCTGTAAAGTGCCTAAGTGGAAAATGAGGTGTTGTTCCTCCAGCTTGCATTCAGCTTCATTGGGACACTGCAAGCAGGACCAGGGTGGAAATATAAGCACGGGTGCAAGGTGGACTGTGGAAATAGCCAGCAACTGGAAGGTTGGAATCATTCCTATGGACAGAGTGGAGGGTCACGCAGTCAGTGTTTGGTCTCACTAATCCAAAGGAGACCACATTGCAGAAGGGAGGAGGTAAAGAGATAAGTGTTACACCTTTTACAATTGCATGGGAATGTGCCAATGGGATGTGAGGTGGTGAGGAACTTTTGGAAGTGATGGAGGAGTGAATCAGGCTGACATGGAGGGAAAGACCCCAGCAGAATGCTGACAGTGGAGGGGGTGGATGTGTTTGTTGGCAGTGGTGGTTGTATCCTGCTGGAAGTGACGGAATTGCTGGGAATATGCAACACATCAAACAATGTCTGTGTGAAAAACAGACGTGATTTTTCAGGTGTGAACTTTAATGCAAACTAGAAGATATTATGAACATTTAATTCGGAATAGTAGAAAGAGAAAGTTTAATAATCTTTAGAGACCTTCTGTGGAAATTCTCTGAACAGCATCCCACCCAGACTCAGCCTCTCACCCTATTCCTGTAACCCCACATTTCCCATGGCTAATGCACTCAGACTGCATATCCCTGGACACTATAGGCAATCCACCTAAACTCCACATCTTGGGACTGTGGGAGGAAACCAGAGCACCCAGTGGAAACCCATGCAGACATATGAGAATGTGCAAACTCTACACAGACAGTCACTGAAGGTTGGAATCAAACCCAGATCCCTGCTGCTGTGAGGCAGCAATGCTAAGCTCTGTGCCACCATGTCCTCATCTTTCATCTCTTTCCTTGTGACACCTAATCTCCCGTGTCTATATCACACAAGAACATAAGATATAAGAACAGGAATAGATCATTTCACCCGTTGAGCCTGCTTTGCCATTCAATAAGATCGTGGCTGATCCCACTGTGGTCTTAACTTCACATTCCTGCCTACCCTCATGACTCCCAACTGCTTTGTAGATCTAAAAGCTATTAACTCAAACCTGAATATATTCAATAACCCTGCCTGCACTTTAGAGGATGAGAGATGATCACATTGAAACATATGGGATTCTTAAAAGGTAAATGCTGAGAAGATGTTTGCCCTCACGAGAGAGTCTAGGACCAGAGGGCATAGTCTCAGAATTAAGGTTTGGCCAAATTAAGACTGAGGTGAGGAGGAATTTCTTCTTTTAGAGGATTTAGAGTCTTTGAAACTCCTTGCCACAGAGATCTATGTGGGCAGAATCCTTGTGTTTATTAAAGGCTGAGATAGAATCTTGATCAATGGGGGAATCAAGGATAATGGGGAAAGGGCAAGAAAGTGGGCATGAGGAGTGTCAGATCAGCCATGATCCCATTGAACAGCAGAACAAGTTTGAGGGGTCAAATGGTGTACTCGTGTTCTTATTTGTTATGGTCTTACTTCATCATAAGTGGTAGCATGGACTTGGATATGAATTTAGAACTTTATGACTTACACAGTTAGCATTAACCAGCTTCTGGGCCACCAAAAGCATAAATAAAAGGACACAAAACCGTGACAGCACTACAGGACGAAATACCTTTTTCTAGAAGAATGATGTTACCGATTTGTTGCGTGTCATGACAAATTAAAACACACTTAAAGGCTTTATTCAAATGTTCTCTTTTAATTCTCACGAATACAAGTGTTCTAATCATAGATGCTCTGTTATCTTCAGTAATAATCCTAAAATTCAAAAATATGTGTGAACAATGGAAAATATGAATTATATTAATTAATAAATAATTTTGATAATAAAGTTTCCACTTCAACAAACAGTGGACAGAAGAGAAATGCTAATAGTTACTGACAACAGTAATTAAAAGTCTAAGGATTACAGTTGCCTGCCCATTCCCTCTCAAGGAATGTTCATAAGAACGATGTCTTATTGCCACGGAAATAAGACTCGAATAGAATAGACAAATGACTTTTCCCATTATGCAAGACATTGTTGCTTAAGGAAGGTAACGATTCTGAAAGTGTAAATGTTGGAGACTACTCACGGCTCCACCCAATAAGATGATTTCATAAAGAGGAGTTGAGCTCCAGATCTCAATAAGTGTCTTCTGATCGTCTAAACAATTATGTCTAACTGGTCAACGTAACTTTTATTTATTGCTACCTTGCAAGTGTTCCCAGCCAAGTGCCTCTTATTCTTAAGACTCACTAACAATTCATCCCCTACCACGGTTAACCAAATTGACCTTTAGATTTGATAAAGAGGTGGATCATTGGCAGCACTCTGCTCAACTAGTAGCTGGTAGTGTTCGATTCTGCAAGATCTCAAATGGTGATCAGCAATGGTGTTGTTGCTTAAATACCTCAAGGTAACAACTGTGAAAAATATTCCACTTGACCCAGGATAAAAATATCTTAAACGTTAAGTGAACGTAGCGCTTTAAGAGCATTACCACTTTAAGAATACTAAGCATCATCAGCAGCAAACACTTGACAGACAAGCAATCAGAAGATCTCATGAAAGGCACAACATACAAAGGGAGCACTCCAGGCCTATCCTCACGGTTTACATTGCTGTAAGGTTCAGAACTCTAGGTTCATTCCTGCACTTTGGACAGGTTGCTATCTTGAACTCTTGTTTTCTCTTCTTTCCTAATTGTTTCTCCCTCACCTACAGCTGTCAAATTCTGTAAGATTTCAGCACCTTTTTGTTGACAATATATTACATAACACTGATCTCCGTAGTATAACTCTCACACGGGTTATTTTAGCCTTTCGTCACCGTCTCCAGCATGTGACTACTGTGTCACTTTTCTAGATTCAGGGAAGGTCCCATTAAACCGCGAGATGACAGTTAATGATATACTTTTATTCAAAAAGGGAAGGAAACACAAAGCAGGAAGCTACAGGCCAGTTGGCTTAACATCTCTCATCAGGGCAGTTTTAGAAACAATTTTTAAAGTTATAAGAGAGCACTGAGGTAAGTTCAAGACAATCAGGCAGATTCAACATGGCTTTGTGAAATGGACACCATGTTTAACCATTCTATTGGAGTTGTTTGAGGAAGTAACATATGCTGTGGATAAAGTGGGACCATTGGATGCACTATACTTATATTTCCAGATTTCATTTGATAAGTGCTATATCAAAGGTTATTGAGGAAAATAAAAACGAATGGTGTTGCGTTATTGGGGTATTGGCATAGACAGCAGATCAGCTGGATAACAGGAAGCACGGAGTTGGTGTAAATGGATTGTTTTTCTGGTTGGCAAAATGTAATGTGTGCAATAGGGATCAGTAACGTGACCTCAGAAGTTTATGTAATAAAGCTGAGGTCACCATAGAACAGCTCTCTCATTACAGAGAAATAACTGATGGTGAGTTTAACCTAAAGTCACCACACCTCAGGCAAGGGGAGAGTTTGAGAAGAAGTGTCCTTCATGGTAGCATCAGGCATAGGCATTGAACCCATACTGCTGGTATCGCTCCGCAACACAAACCAGCTGTCCAGCCAAGTGAACTAATCTTGGATGATGGAGCTGAGTGTATGATTGTCACATTTGTTGATGACACAATGAAATGTTGGAAAGTAAATCATGAAGGGACCTTGATCAGATGGCTGATGGGCTGAGGAGTGGCAGATGGTATTTAATTTAGATAAATGTAATGTGCTGCATTTTGGTAAGGCAAATCAGTGCAGGACTTATACACTTAATGGTAAGGTCCGGGAGAGTGTTGCTGAACAAAGAGACTTTGGTGTGCAGGTTCATAGTTCCTTGAAAGTAGAGTCGCAGGTAGACAGGATAGTAAAGAAGGCATTGGGTATGCTTGCCTTTATTGGTCAGTGCATCGAGTACAGGAGTTGACAGGTCATTTGTTAGACCACTTTTGAAATGCTGCATTCAATTCTGGTCTCCCTGCTATGAGAAGGATGTTGTGAAGCTTGGAAGGGTTCAGAAAAGATTTACAAGGATGTTGCCAGGGTTGGAGGGTTTGAGCTACAGGGACAGGCTGAATAGGCTGGGGCTATTTTCCCCAGAGCGTCAGAGGCTGAGAGGTGACCTTGTAGAAGTTTATAAAATCATAAGAGGCATGGATAGGGTACGTAACCAAGGTCTTTTCCTCAGGATAGCGGAGTCCAAAACTAGAGGGCATCGTTTTAAGGTGAGGTGGAAAGATTCAAAAGGGACCTAAGGGGCAATGTTTTCACGCAGAGGGTGGTGCGTGTATGGAATGAGCTGTCAAAGGAAGTGATGGAGGCTGGTAAAATTACCACATTTAAAGGCATCTGGATGGGTATATGAATAGGAAGGGTTTGGAGGGATATGGGCCAAATGCTGGCAAATAGGACTAGATTAATTTAGGATATCTGGTCAGCAAGGAAAAGTTGGACCAAAGGTTCTGTTTCCATGCTGTATGGCTCTATGCCTTTAAGAAGACATAATGAGGTTACTTGGGATAGAGATTAGTTAAATGAGTGGGGAAAAATATGACAAATGGAGTGAAATGTGGAAAAATGTGAAATTGTGCATTTTGGCAGAAAGAAGTAGAAGAAAATCTATTTTCTAAATTGTGAGATATTACAGGCGCCTGATATGCAGAGGGATCTGAATGTCTTTGTGTATGAATCACAAGAGGCTAGCGTGTAGGTACATCAAGTAATCAGGAAAGCTAAAAGAATGTAAATATTTACTGCCAGAGGAACTGAATACAAAAGTTGAGAAGTTATGCGTCAGTTATGCAGGGCACTGGTAAGACCACATCTAGAGTACTATGTACAATATTATTTACCTTATTTAAGGATGGGTTTAAATGTGTTGGAAGCAGTTCAGGCAAATTGATCGATTGCCTTATGAGGACATTTTGGATAGGTTAGGCTTGTATCTGCTGCAGTTTAGAAGAAGTAACTTGGTTGAAAGATAAAAGTCTGTGAGGTGTCTTGAGAGGGTGTGTGTGAAGAGGACGTTCCCTCTTATTGGAGAAAACACAATCAAGGGTCCGTCTAAAAATAAGGAATCACACAATTAAGGCAGAGATAGGTAAAATTTCTTTTCAGAGGGTTGAGAAATTTTGGAGCTCTCTTCCTGAAAAGGCAGTGGAAGCAGAATCTTTGAATACTTTTAAGACAAAGACGGTTTAAGATGATCTTAACGGATAGACTTTTGGTAAGTAAGGGGGTGAAACGTTATGAGATGTAGACAAGAAAGTTGATTTGAGGTTACAGGCTACCATTTATTAAATGGCAGAGTAGTTTCAAGGGGCCAAATGGCCTACTTCTGTTCCTAATTTATGTCTTCTTATATACTTGGAGGTGACCTTCCAGAACCAGACAAGGAGATTCAGCAGTAGATAGTAGGAACTGCAAATGCTGGAGAATCTGAGATAACAAGGTGTAGAGCTGGATGAACACAGCAGGCCAAGCAGCATCATAGGAGCAGGAAGGCTGACGTTTCGGGCCTAGACCCTTCTTCAGAAATGGGGGAGGGGAAGGGGGTTCTGAAATAAATAGGGAGAGAGGGCGAGGCAGATAGAAGATGGTTAGAGGAGAAGATAGGTGAAGAGGAGACAGACAGGTCAAAGAGGCGGGGATGGAGCCAGTAATGGTGAGTGTAAGTGGGGAGTTAGGGAGGGAAGACTTTCCACATCAAGCAGATGTTCACCTGCACATCTGCTAATGTGGTATACCGTATCTGCTGTTCCCGTTGTGGCCTCCTCTACATCGGGGAAACCAAGCGGAGGATTGGGGACCGCTTTGCGGAACACGTACGCTCGGTTCACACTAAACAACTGCACCTCCCAGTCGTGAACTATTTCAACTCCCCCTCCCATTCCTCAAACGACATGTCCATCCTGGGCCTCCTGCAGTGCCACAACGATGCCACCCAAAGGTTGCAGGAACAGCACCACATATTTCGCTTGGGAACCCTGCAGCCCAATGGTATCAATGTGGACTTCACAAGCTTCAAAATCTCCCCTCCCCTTACCTCATCCCAAAACCAGCCCAGCTTGTCCCCACCTCCCTAACCTGTCCTTCCTCCCACCTATCCCCTCCTTCCCCCTCAAGCCCCACCCCCATCTCCTACCTACTAGCCTCATCCCGCCCCCTTGACCTGTCCGTCCTCCCTGGACTGACCTATCCCCTCCCTAACTCCCCAAATACACTCACCTTTACTGGCTCCATCCCCGCCTCTTTGACCTGTCTGTCTCCTCTCCACCTATCTTCTCCTCTATCCATCTTCTATCCGCCTCCCCCTCTATTTATTTCAGAACCCCCTTCCCCTCCCCCATTTCTGAAGAAGGGTCTAGGCCCGAAACGTCAGCCTTCCTGCTCCTCTGATGCTGCTTGGCCTGCTGTGTTCATCCAGCCGTACACCTTGTTATCTAAAGAGATTCAGCACTCCAGTTAGGCCTAAAAGTCCTCCCTGCCTGCATGTAGGAGCAACCAAAGGCCATCCTACAGAGGGATCCTCCGTACTGGTGACCTGGCATAAAATCCATTTTTAGCGCAAAAAAATTGAAGACAGAGCAGCTCTCCCTCACTAACTTTGTACAGCAGACTGCTGCAACTTTCAAGTAGGACAGCCTGTCGCTATACTGCTTCAAGCGTTCACTGACCATCCTTCATTGGACAGAGAACTCATCTTCAAGCTAATAAAACTAATATTATGGAAACTGGGAACAGTTACTGTTTTTCATAGGGACTGGGGCCAGCAGGGCAGCATTGTCTAGATTCTGAAATGGTCCAGATCTCTGTTACTGGTTTCAGGAGGGGAATTCCTGCCCATGGTAACAACAAATAAGGAAGCAATTCAGTGCAAAATAACAATGCACCACATAGAATGCACAAATCAGTACATCTCTTACCTATTATGACCTTCATAGACTTCATCATCTCCACTGCTAATTAAGTAATTGTGATTAAAATTCCAATATAGCAGGCAGAAGTCAGCTGCTTCCTTGCCCATAACAGCTTTGCATTCAAGTTCTTTTTTCCCACCTATTACAAAAGAAGAAACTCAATAATGCAATTACTTTGTTTAGGGGCGTGTGGCCAGTAAAATAATCATTTACTGTTTGTAACATTAAAACAAAACTATGCTAATAATCTAAACGGTTTCAAAAATTCCCAGATCCCTGCAGACTTCATACAGCTAAAAGATATATATTGCGACTAAAAACCTGCGGGTCTTCCAGAAGGACTACAAATTATGTCAGAGCCTTGCCCCAGACTTTGCAAGTTGGCACAATTAGTAGCAGTGATCCTCAATGGTTGCGATCTCAGCTTAAGTGCATTGCTGATTTTTTTGGTTGCACCGGGAATTAAAAATTAGCAGCTGAAAATTAAAAATCAGCACCTTATAGAACAGAAACTGGTGCTAACAATGTTATTATTGTGACAGGCAATCTTTCCCCACTCCCCCTAACCCAATGTTCATGTGTCTCCATTCAACAAGATAGAGTTAAGGAGAAGGGCAATAAGTGACCAAAAATCCAGCTGCAGTTTTCTTCTGTCAGCTCAGGAGCAGGGCCTCAACTTCTGAGTTGTTATTTCCTTCAGTCAGCATTATCCTTAATTGTGGGTGAATCTTATTATTTGAAATAAATACTTTTGATAGGATGATTGTGTATTATGATCATGGTTAGGAGTAAAGAATGGAGCCCTGAAAATTCACATTTATAGGGCAGTGTTTAGATCTTAATGGAAATACAATATGTAGTTAGTAATTTTCAATAGGGCTTGTTTCTGTCATTAAATCACTCACGTTTCAATGCTAGAATCATAAATCACAGATATAAATCTTGGCCTATTGTGGATATACTAGCGCTTTGAAAAGATATACACGTCTTAGGTTCCTCTGCTTTTTCCTCATAGCCTTGAAATGTTTCCCTGTTAGTACATACCCAATGGAGAAGTTGCATTATCCATAGCTAAATAAAAAATAACTGAAAAAAGTGGCAGATTGTACAGTATGAGAGAAACTTAGCTAGTAATATAAAAATAGAGTTTCTACAAGTATTTAAATAGGGAAAGAGTGAGTATGCTAGAATTGCTTCTAGACAGAGAAAATTGATAATGGAAAAATGAAGGAGGAATTTTGTTGCTGGCTTCACTGTAGAAGACTTAGGAAACTTGCCAAAAACCAAAAAGGCAAAAGGGATGGAAAAACTTAAAAATTTAATAGGCAAAAGGTGCTTTGAAAACCAAAAGTCTGACAAGTTCTCAGGACTAGATGTTATGCATTTAAGGTTTGAAAAGAGATGGCTGCAGAGATTTTGGAGGTATTGGCTTTAATCTTTCAAAATTCCTTAGATTCTGAAAGGGTCATCTCAACACATTTTTTCTTGACAGCAGGGGGATACAAAGCAAGGAACTATAGATCAGATGCCTAACATCTGTCAGAGAGAAATCGTTAGAAACCATTATTATTGGAGTTATAGCTCCAATACTTAGATACTTAGGATACTTAGAAAATCACACTGCGATCAGGCAGACTCAACATGGTTTTGTGAAAAGAAAGTTGTGTTAAAATAATCTATTAGAGTTTTTGAGGAAATAACGAGCAGGCTGGGTAAGGGGGAACCTGTATTTGGCATACTGTAGCTATGTTCAAAACTGTTTTCAAATACTGTTATTTTCGAAAGGGATTTGATTTGGCACCACATTGAAGGTTACTAGACTAAATAATCGTTTGCAGCATCAGGGGTACAATCTTAGAGTGGAAAAAGGATTAGTTGGCCAACAGGAAGCACAGCATAGGGATATTTCATTTTTTTTTCAGTTTGACAAGCTGCAACTTGTCAGGATTCAGTGCTGGAGCTACAACTATTCATAGTGTACAGTAATGACTTGTACCTGGGTTCTGAATGCATGAAAGCTAATGTTGTTGATGACACTAAGGATCAGTTAGATATTACATTGCTAGGAAGACAGTTTGCTCAATGTCCAACCCATTTGTGACCACAGGTATTAGAACATAGAACATAGAACATTACAGCGCAGTACAGGCCCTTCGGCCCTCGATGTTGCGCCGACCTGTGAAACCAATCTGAAGCCCATCTAACCTAAACTATTCCATTATCATCCATATGTTTATCCAATGACCATTTAAATGCCCTTAAAGTTGGCGAGTCTACTACTTTTGCAGGCAGGGCATTCCACACCCTAACTACTCTCTGATTAAAGAACCTACCTCTGACATCTGTCCTATAGCTATCACCCCTCAATTTAAACTATGTCCCCTCGTGTTAGCCATCACCATCCCAGGAAAAAGGCTCCACTGTCCACCCTATCTAATCCTCTGATCATCCTCTGATCATCATTAAGAGACATTAGCATGAGTACATGTACACTCTCTCTATATTCATAGATACAAATTGAGATGCCAGTCTTCAGAGCTGTTTTTTCTGTGTTACTGCTAAGAAGAATGTGGTATGGGGCATCTGGTGAGTTAACGGTACACATGCTAGGAAATTTCTCCTTCTTACAAATATATAATTCTCTTATCTTCTGAATGATCCAATTTTAAACCAAATGCAAAACCCATTTAAAATGAATGGGTAAATAAATGAACTAACACCACTGTAAAAGAACAAACAACCATCAGGAAACCGAGGTCAAATGATACTAAACCACAAGGAATTTCCAAAATTTCATTCTCAATCAATGATATCCTACAAGATCTCAGCTCGGGCAGTGTTAAGGATACTTCAGTTGGACTTTATACCCTGGAATTGGAAGAAGATTCGGGAATCTTGCTCATGATTGTTCTCTGATCATTCCTGGAGCCAATTGCACCCAAGTAGACAGGGGAGAAACAAGCTTGACTCAAACCACATTGACTTACACAGGAGGAATGGCTATTTGAGTAAGCTTTTGAAACCTGTGGAACTGTACCCCAGCAAGAATTGCATCACTGGCATAAGAAGGAAGAAAATTTTCAGCGACCTAATATTCTAAAGCTACTCTAAAGCATACATACCAAGTTCAAGCTCAATTTGTTCATCAATGGGATAAATTAATTTTGGTTCGAATGGCTCGACATATTCTGTGAAGAAAGGGGAACATGAAATTTATTCATAGAATTTAATTTTTACATAATAATTGTACATTTAAAAAGAAAATGCCAAGGAAAGAAAAATCAACTTCCGACGCATTGACTCTCCTGCTGTAATTATGCTGGAGGAGAAACCCATCCACCAAGGGCAGAATTGAATGTTGGTGATAGGGGTCTCAATTGGCAGCTGGAGTGCCAGTGGGTATGCTGCGATGCTACCATTGGAGAATTCCAGTGCAGTGGATGCTGGGTCATCGAGTAAAGTTAAGGATGAGATCGACAGATTTTAATGAATAATGGGTCAAAGGGTTATGCAGAGCAAGCAAGAAAGTGGAGTTGATGTTGAGATGAGATCGCCATGATCATATTAAATGGAGAAGCAGGCTTGATGGGCCTAGCACCTACATTCTTATGTCCATCACACATTTACCTGAGCGCTGTCAGGTTGTCCCTAGGATTTAGGGCCCTAGGGCAGAAATCTCAACCTCCCTACACCAACCATGTGCCTCTGGCCAATCAGAGACCAGAAGCTCATCCTTGTTTGCCAGCATCATCTGGAGTAGTGGCACCTGCTGGCAAAGTACCCACCAATGGTCTAGGATTGCCAAGGGCTCCAAGTGACAGGAAAGGGAAGGATTTGGGATCACAAGAAGGAGCCCGGCCACGGTTAGGCATGAAGTGAGAAGGAAGAGGATATGGGTGAGTCTTAGCCAGCTCCTATCAACCAAGCACTTAAGTGACCTTGAAAAAGGGGAACCAATCTGGAAGCCCACAAGTACACCTGAAGGAGTTTTCTTTTATGGGGTCCCGTGTGACAATGATCCAGTTAACATCCTTAATTCTAGCCTGAACAGGAATGCTGCCCACACATCTTCCCCACATGAGAAGGTGGCAGAATCCCGGCCCTCAACTTTCTGTATTACTGAAAGCCTCCCACTGCAAAATCGGCCACTTGGAGAGGCATAACATTCCTATCAAGATGCAAATCCTATCCCAAACTACAGAAAGGGAATAATTTGAAAAATTGAGCTTCACTTCTCCCTTGTAAGTTGACCAGGCCACAACATATCCTTCCAAGCAAAAAGATGACCAGACAAAAGTCCTGAGCAGAATCATCAGTCTCCACTGACAAAGTCACCAATTATCTATTGATCAATTATCTTAGATTTGGTATGGACATTATAGTAGATCTTGTCTGGAAAAGGTTTTCAGAGGGAGTGAGAGTTAGGTGGCTAAGAAGGTCAACTCCTCAAATGTGGACTCAAGGATGATAAAAAGGCTAATGACCTCTCATGGGTGGCCAATATTAGAAGGTGCAACTTCATTTGACGTCTTGTACCAATTGATCAGCTTCCAACCCTGCTCAATGCATCATATTTGTATAACATAACCAACACCACTCCTTGTCACTGTGGTCCCATCTGCTTTGGTCAGATAACCTCACAAACCAACAACTGCCAAAGTGAAACCAATGTCAATACCTTCATATACTCCAGCATTTTAGCTTTGGCAGGCTCCTCATCCTGATACAATACTGCAAAACCATCAACTTTTTTATTTCTCTCAACCAGGGCACAAAGTAGAGAGCAGAACACGATGCAAAGACGTCTACGTCATCTGAACTCTATAGAGGAGTTGGTTGTCATCACGATGGTACTGTCTGCAATGGGATACAAGGCATTCAACATAATGATTTGTTTTTTGCCTTGTGCCTCTTCTCAACTCCCAGTCCACACACTTCCTGTTATCTAGCACTTCCACTGAATGTGATGTGAACCTAGAACACTTTCTTCTCTCTCCAACCGTATTAGTCACATCAAACTTCCACTTGTGAGTTATATCAGCAGGAAGCAGCTTCTGCAATGCTGGGAGGCCTTCTATAGGAACCTGCCCGTCTTTCTTAATGTAGGTAGGGAGGGGATCATTGGCCATTCCCTGGAAAATGTGCCAGATGACATTTTCTCACAGGATGCAAGGGTGGGACCTGAATTTAATTCTGATGTCAGGATTCAGATCCCAAAATGAAATTTTAGCCCTTGGTAACTGATGAAGAGAAAGCTGCCCTCTCAGCATGTCTTACAGACTTTAAAAAAAAATATGACTGCAGCTGCTCAACCACCAACGTAGAGTGTGTTTCCGATTTCATGGCATCCAACCTCTGGGTATACCATTGGGACACCTCCTCCTGGCATTGGCATGGCTCCAGCTGCTACAGGAAAACTCTACAAAACAGAGATAAACCTAAGTTTCCTTATCTAAAACTCTCCCCTCAACTGCACAACTCACCCTGATCATATCCAGATCATTATTTCCCAGACTGTTACTGATATCACCCTTTCTGGAGATATTGCCCTCCGCTGCCATCATTCTCCTAGTTTCTCAGTTCCACAGTGCTACCTGCTCCCAGATGTATGTAAAAAGAATATTCACAGTACATGACAGGGTCATCTAGGTTTAGCTCCTGAAAGGACCCTCAGTGCCAGGTGTCCTTGTCCAAGCTCATGTGGCCTTTGAAGAAAAAGCACAGTTTTCTTGGCCCAAATGAATTAAAAGAATCTTTGTTTATCACAAAGTTTTGAACTCCCACTGGAGACACACCAGCTCACGCCCAAATACATTTTGCACATTGAAACTGTCAGTTAGATTTATAACGTACTATTGATAAGTAATAAGTTAAACTGTACCTTTAGCTGTCAGGTTCAATGTCCTCGTAACGTTATACTGAACTCCATCATTTTGTAAAGGCAGTACGCACATGTAGAGTCCAGTGCTTTCTTCTTGCACTTTCTGAATAGTATACATGTCCCCAGTGTAAACATTTTCCGTGCAATCCTGAAAGATACACAAACACACCAGTGGGTTTTTTTTTCACTTGAGTAATTCAGTGGATATCTGATGAAACTGGTCTTCTGCCCCACGTAGATGTGACCAGAATTGTAACCCATTGCATTGAATATGAAACAAATTGAGCAGGTTCTAAAACAGGAGAAAAACCAGCTCTGCCAAACCTTCATACAAGCTGTGAAAGTAAAAATTTAAGACCAGATCTGAGTGAAAATTACACAGCTTTCTATTTCTTTTATATTTAGCCTGTGGACCAAATAAAGAAAAACCGAAAGAACTGTGGATGCTGTAAATCAGGACCAAAAACAGAAGTTGCTGGAAAAGCTCAGCAGGTCTGGCAGCATCTGTGAAGGAAAAAACAGAGTTAACGTTTCGGGTCCGGTGACCCTTCCTCAGAAC